AAGGTATCCACTGACCTCCTCTTACGAGCACCAAACCCCCGTCACTTGGCAACGATTCCTCCACTTAATCCACAAGGAAGTACAAAGGGGAACCCGAAGGTTCCGCTGCCGAAGTATCCGTATATAGAGAAGAAACTGATGCTGAAGCACCGGCAGGTGGATCAGAGGAACGAGCAGGCTCAGTCGCGGTTGTAGAAGGGGTAGAAGTCGAAGAGGTAGCAATTTTCCTCTTACGGAATGCAGGTGGGGGATCTCTCGGCCTCCACGAAGGCCCTTGGGCTGGAGTTGAGAGAAGCGCAAAAGAAAAGGTCAACCATAGTGAACCACAAAAGGTGAGTAACCAAGAAGCCAAAGAAAAGAAACTCACCGATTGAGGAAGGAGCAGGCCCAAACTTCTTGAGAAATCCCGGCCACTCACAAATCCTCGCGATGTGAGGGAGGAGCCGGCAGACCCAATCAGAAATGTCCCCGACCAAAGAAGTGGGCGAAGTCTTGGTTGCAAAAGAAAGGAGCAAGAGATCAGAACCCGTGACTAAGCAAAGTAAACCAAATGCCTCTGCACAAAAAGGTTAGACGCTTACGAGTGTAGTTCCAAGTTTCAGGGAAGCCGTCTGCGTTGGCCACCACGTCCTCAGTTCTGACAAAGAAGAAGTTGTGCCAGAACTAGCGGCTAGCCTTGTCATCATACTTCACCACCAGACACTGTTTCCCTCCGTGGCAAAGGTTCATCATCGTCCCCCTATAGAAACTAGGGGCGAATAAATGCGTCAGATGTCGAAGAGTGATCTCGACCCCGGCCAGCTCCGCGAACTTAGTAAGCATCTTGATGAGCTTATAGATATACGGTGCGAGCTGAGCCACGCAAACGCCATAGAAATGACAAAACTCCTCCGCTAGTGGAAGAAAGGGAAGAGTGTAGCCAACATGAAAAGGGTAAGCGTAGAACGCACAGTACCCCGGGCGGTGGACTTGTACCACATCCCGCCCTGCAAGGACCAACTCGATGCGAGCGGGAATGCTGAATTTAGCCCTAAGCTCTAATAAATCGGCCTTCTTCATCATCGACTCGGAGATTTCGGGTTTAGCTTCAGGCGCCTTTGTAAAATCAGACCTGACTTTCTCACCACGAGGAACTATCTCCTCCACAGTAGGGAAGTTCTCGTCCTCAACGGCAACGGAGATGCCCTCCGTGTGAGGAGGGAAAACCATCGCTAAAGGAACCGGGTAACTATACTCGCTGGGACAAAAAGATACGTTAGACATAGTTCTAACAAAAGAGAAGGTATTCAAAGTAACGAGGAGTTAAAAACAACAGGGATCGCTAGGGCAGGGAAAGAAGATGCACAATAATGGAATAAGAAGAAGAAGAAGGCACAAGGTTTCAATATGGGAAATCTGTAAAACTTGAGTGTGTGCCTTCACATCCCTATTTATAAGAGCTCATATATCAAAACCGAGAAATTAGGTCATCATTACTTAGCAAAACTATCGAAGCGACAGATCTAACCAATAGACGTATGCGAAATGACACAACGCATCGGGAAAATGCACCATAATGACGTCATGACGTCACTTTGATCCAGGTACAACGTAACCCCAAAAGTAGCGGCTCATGAAAGGCCACGTTGCCCACTCGTCCAATCATCTCGACCACGACGAAAAGAATCCGCTCATCAACCTATCTGGCCTTAATTAATGGAGGGACTAACTGTATAGGTCAACAATTGCCCAATAATATTTAAGACAAGATAACGCTAAAGGAAGAGTCTTCAAGCCGTCATCAGTCGAGGTCGATCAGGAAGCAGCGAGATTCGTGGCCGAGATGTCAACAAGGGTCGAGGTCGAGCATCGTTGGCAAAGCTATAACGGCTAGTTTTAGAAATAGGATATTAAAGAGAATGTTCTAGTCTCCACTTGTACTATTAGGGTTTGTTAAGAAAATGTCTCATATAAATAGAAAAGGAGACAATGGTGGAAGGCATGTGACATTCATTATTTGACAAGAACAGACTTTTGATTGAAGATTCTTTCTCTCCCTTACAAAGATACAAATATTACCTTGGGTGAATCACTCATTCTATTTACTTAAATGTCATTTATTGTTATTTATTGCTAGTTGTTGCTATATTATTGCCCATACTTTTTGAAATAGTTAATGCATATTGTTGTCAATCCTCCATCAGATCTGACCAACATTAGTCACCTTTTCGAAAAATATATCTAGAAATATTATTATTAACTAAGTTTAACCCATTATTATATAAATTTAACTGTTTAAAATAAAAGTTACACTTTTTGGTCAAACAAAAGGTTCTAATAGTCTGATTTGGCAATTAGCAAATTTTAAAATAACAAACAAATAAAAGAGGGGAATTTACGTGGTATATAACTTTTAAAGAGTTAATTACATCTCCTGCTAATGGGTAAAAATCATAAAGCCCTATTTACAACTGGTAATTAAAAAATAGTCACAGTTTTAAAAGTAATCGAAATTTAGCCATTTTTCATGTAAAGATAAAATTTGAACAAAAACACTCTTTAAAATCCGAAAATATTCCAGCATAATATGCTGGAATTCGAATTTTTTACATATGAGCTTCCAGCAGAATATGCTGAAATTTTATTATGTGCTGAAATTCCATCATAATATGCTCGAAGTTTATATGCAGGAGCTCCATAATCCCGCATATTATGCTGGAACTTTTCGTGTGCTGGAGTTCCAACATAATATGCTGGAAATTTATACGCATGAGCTTCATAATCCCGCATATTATGCTGGAACTTTTCGTGTGCTGGAGTTCCAACATAATATGCTGGAAATTTATACGCATGAGCTTCATAATCCCGCATATTATGCTGGAACTTTCCGAGTTTCACCAAAACAATGGGTATTTTTTAATGACCTCGCAAATGCCGGCTATTTTCGATTACTAGTCTATTTGAAACCTACTAGTACTTCTTAACCTTTTCACACGTGACCATTTTGTTTTTAAGTTTCACACCATTTGTTTAACTTTTTAATTACACGTTATCCACCTTTACAAATCCCTTAAAAAAATGTTTCATCCCGTGTAATTAGGCCATTAGGGAATAAGATAATTTAATCCATACGCATGTGCTATATTATATGTATATAAATAAAGTATTTAACGCATACTATTTATATACGTTTATTTAACTTTGTCATTATCAATTCTTTAATGTTGCTAATTGCCAAAAGTGCTTGGCCAATAGAGCTTTTGTATCAGCTACATTTTGGTTGAGAAAGTATAGTAGCTATTTAGGCATCTAGCATAAGTTTAGGGCAAAATACAAAACTAGCCGGTCGGTTAAAATTACTTGCATTCGCTAGTCGAAAAGTGTATAAAATATGTATATTTTTGTATATAATACATATATATACAAAAAAAAATATACATTTTATCAGCTATTATCTTTTAGAACAGCTAAAGAGATACATTTCTCCAAGTTGTGTTTATGTAGGGGTAAGTGCATAATTAGTCATTCTTAGGGATGCTATTTAAAGATTAGTCAGTACTTATTTTGTCCTGAAATTTTAAACTAAAAATCTTAATTTCATGACAATTCAGGACAATTTTGTCCTGAAAAGTTAAACTGAAAAACTGAAATTCATGACGCACTGGCTAATCCTTAAATAGCAGCCCTTAGAGTGGATACCTGCCGTCATTTCTACGTTTTTTATGTAGTCTCCCCTCTCTACATTTGAACTCAAACAAAATCTCTTGTACGTTTACACCAGAATGATTCTATTGGATTTTAAGAGTTATCTTTAATACCCTGATAGTTTATGTTCATATAATATTTTTATGTTGCATATTTAATTGCAGCGTGGACTAGCATCTGGAAATATGAATTGAGCAGGCCGCTCTAAATATTACACGCTTGGCCTAAAACAATTAAGGAACATGAACTGCTAATCCTAAGGTATATCCATAATCAAAAGGTAACAGTTTCCATTCTTTATTCTTGCTTTACCTACTCACAAGAGTTCCAACTTTTAGCACAAATGATTTCAATTGGGGCAAATGCACATATAGTCATTCTTAAGTATGTTATTTAGAGATTAGTCACCGCTTATTTTGTCCTCAAATTTTAAACTAAAATTCTTAATTTCAGAACAATTTAGGACATTTTTGTCCTGAAAATTAAACTAAGAAATTGAAATTCAGGACACACGGGTTAATTCCTAAATAGCAACCTCTTAGAGTGGCTACCTGGTGTCATTTTTACGGAAAAAATCACAGCTCCTTAGAGTGGCTACCTGGTGTCATTTTTACGGAAAAAATCACCCGATACTTTTTCTACTAGAATTTAAACCTTATAGCATGTTTGGTCAAACTTCTAAAATCAGCTTTTTTGAGTAGAACTTTTCTCAAAAGTGTTTTTCTTAAAAAGTTGGTGAAAAATAATTTGTGTTTAACTAATTAATTTTGAAAAGTACTTATGAACAACAATTAGTGTTTGACTAAGTTTTTTAGAACTGCTTTTAAGTGTATTTTTCTAAAAAAAAATGCTTCTAGGGAGAAACTACTATTTTCTGCTGAAAAAGAAGAGAACAAAGATGGTGAATAAAGTGCTTGATTGGGTTTAAATAACCTTTGACAGGAATACAAATAAGGAAAGACTACAATTACAAGCCTACAAAATCTCCTAATTACTTAATTACATGGATCTGTGTGATTACAGGGATTTGTGTGTCTTTTTATATTTACATAGTATCAATTCTTGCCATATTTAACACTCCCCCTCAAGTTGGAGGGTACAAGTCATATGCTCATAGCTTGCTACAGATATCGCCAATTCTGGATCCTCGGAGTGATTTTGTGAGGACATCTGCTAGTTGATCTTTTGAGTTGACAAAACTCGTAACAATACACCCGGACTCAATCTTTTGTCGAATGAAGTGACAGTCTACTTCAATATACTTCGTTCTTTCATGAAATACTGGATTTGAAGTGATATATAATGCGGCTTGATTATCACAAATCAATTTCATTGGCTCGTCCCCTCCAATCTTTAACTCCTGTAGAAGTTGCCTTAGCCATATAAGCTCGCAAGTAGCCTATGCCATAGCCCGATATTCTGCCTCTGCACTTAACCTAGCCACCACATCTTGCTTTTTACTTTTCTAGGATATTAGGTTGCCTCCAATTAAAATACAATAACCTGAAGTGGAACGTCTATCAGAAGGAGAACCTGCCCAATCTGCATCAGAATACCCAACAATGTCTGCATATCCCTTGTTTTCATACAATAAACTTTGTCTCAAAGAACCTTTGACATATCTTAGGATGCGAATTGCTGCATCCCAGTGACTGTCACAAGGTGACTGGAGAAACTGTCTAACCACACTTACAGCAAATGAGATGTCAGGTCTCGTGATCGTAAGATAGTTGAGTTTGCCAACAAGTCTCCGATATCTTCCTGGATCTTTTAGAGGCTTCCCTTGTCCCGGAACAAGTTTAGTATTTGGATCCATGGGACTGTCCACAGGTTTACAGTTCAACATACCGGTGTCTTCCAAAATATCTAAGGCATACTTCCTTTGTGAGATGACAATGCCGCTGCCAGATTGTGCCACCTCAATGCCTAGAAAATATTTTAGTTTGCCCAGATCCTAAGTCTGGAATTGACTTGAAAGATGCCTCTTAAGTTGGATAATACCTTCATGATCATCACCTGTGATGACAATATCATCAACATAAACAATTAGAAAAATACATTTGCCATGAGATGAATGCTTATAGAATACTGAATGATCAGCTTTTGTTCGGATCATTCCAAATTGTTAGACAACAGTTCGGAAACGGCCAAACCATGCCCTAGGAAACTGCTTGAGACCATAAAGAGATCGACGAAGTCGACAGACTAATCCAGACTCCCCCTGAGCAACAAACCCTGGTGGTTGCTCCATATATACTTCTTCAACAAGTTCTCCATGAAGGAATGCATTCTTAATGTCCAACTGAAAAAGAGGCCAATGATTCATCGTTGCCAAAGAGATAAGAAGACGGGCAGATACCATCTTTGCAACTGGTGAAAAAGTATCCCCATAATCAACGCCATACACCTGAGTATACCCTTTAGCAACCAGTCTTGCTTTAAGGCGATCAACCGCTCCGTTTGGAACTACCTTAATTGTAAACACCCATCGACAACCAACTGTGGTTTTCCCCTTAGGTAAAGGGACTATCTCCCAAGTACCATTATCGTGCAAGGCAGTCATCTCTTCAATCATAGCCTGACGCCAACCTGGATGGGCCATCGCTTCTTCCACAGTTTTTGGAACCTTGACAGTGGATAAGCTAGTAATAAAGGCATGATATGAAGGTGATAAACGATGATAACTTAAAAAGGTATATGTGGGAGTTTGATTGGCAGTAGTTCTAGTACCTTTTCGGAGAGCAATGGGGAGATCAGTGACATCTGATGAGTGCTCAACCGAAGCATGAGACATTGTTGGAGAAGACAATGAGTCACCCGGTGGGCTTTGTGTACCTGCATTAGGATCAGAAGCATCAACTGAATTAGTGGGTTGAGAATTAGGTCGAGGGCGTCTAGAATAGACTTGGAGTGGTGAAGTTGTAGCTGGAGTTGGAGGCGAAAAGGTTGGAACTGGAAGAACTGTGGATATGGCCTTCTGATTTAATGAATTAGGAGAAAATACGGGGAAGTCTCAAAAAAGGTAACATCTGCTGAGATTAAGTACCTATTTTTAGAGGAATCAAAGCATTTGTATCCTTTTTGTAGACGAGAGTACCCTAAAAAGACACATTTGATAGCCTTTTGCTGAAGTTTGTCTTTTTCCGGGGTAAGGTCATAAACAAAACAAGTAGTAATTGTTGGAGATGGTGAAGAGGAAAAAATCGACTTTCCAGTAATTTGATTTTCAACTGCTTTATCATCTCCCATTGTTGTATTTATTATACAGGAACTGCTGAAAGTAGTGGATGAGAGTAACTACAAAAACAAGAGATATAGGAAGAAATAGAGAAAACTGAAGAGTCGACCAAGGAGGATCTGGTTCTTCTATAATCTTTTAATTCAAGGAAGAAAAATAAGATGGAGCAGGGACTAAAAAACCCTAGCTTTGATACCATGAAAAAGAAGAGAACAAAGATGGTGAATAAAGTGCTTGATTATTCCCTCAAGCTGTTGGGTTTAAATAACCTTTGACGGGAATACAAATAAGGAAAGACTACAATTATAAGCCTACAAAATCTCCTAATTACATAATTACAGGGATCTATGTGATTACAGGGATTTGTGTATCTTTTCATATTTACATAGTATCAATTCTTGCCATATTTAACATATCCTGCTGCTTAAAAATATTTTTTTTTCTTCTAAAAGCTTGACCAAACACTTCAACTTTGAAAATTAAAAAAAAACTTTTTTTGTGCTCTTGACCTTGAAGATGCTTGGCCAAACAAGCCATTAGTCTTCCATTCATAATCACCCACTTCATTGACCACTAACCAATACTTTAATGCAAAATAAAAGACCCTTAGTTGATAGCTCTTATTCGTAATTTAGGACTATCGGAAACAGCCTCTATACCCCAGAGTAGGGGTAAGGTCTGCGTACACACTACCCTCCCCAGACCCCACTAGTGAAATTATATTGGGTTGTTGTTCCCTGCAGGTTATGTACTTCCACATATCCAGGAAAATGCCATTATAGGATGGATAAGAAATTATGAAATAAGCAAAACTGGCAAGACGGTAGGCAAACACTTTAGACTCTACTGCAAAACATATCAAAATAAAATCCATACATCAAGAAAAGGAGAAATACTGAACCCACTTATACCCTAAACTTACAGTCCAAACTAATTTTAATAAACAGAATGGCTACCGGACAACTCGGACTAATTTTACATGCTGTTCACTTCCACATTGATCTCTGTAGGAAACCTATTTACCTCATTTGGCAAGTTGCTCTGCCCATGTTTTAACTTAGAAACTTTGGTTCCAAACAGAAGCACAGACGCCCCGAGACCACATATAAGTTTTGAGTGGATGGCTGGTAACTGAGTTTATTGGATACCAACAGAACAAGAATGCAGACTAAAATACGGGTAAATTAGAGAAAGCCTACAGACGTTGAGAGGCCATTCTTCGTTTTCTTAGTCGTTCAGCTACGATGAAGGAAAGTTCTAGAGATTGAGAAGCGTTCAATCTTGGGTCACAATGTGTGTGGTAGCGAGAGCCCAAATCGTCGTAGGTTACTGTTCGTGATCCGCCAATGCATTCAGTCACATTTTGCCCTGTCATTTCTAGATGGATACCACCAGGGTGGCTCCCTTCTTGCTCATGCACATCGAAGAAAGCTCGAACCTCAGCCTGCCAGTTCAGCAGAATATGACATTCAGATACAGGATTTAAACCTTACCCAAGAATCAGAATGAGAAAACTCAGAGATGAAACTTACCAGGATTGAATCGAAAGCACGGGTTTTGAGTCCGCATGGTGCCTTTATAGTGTTTCCGTGCATTGGGTCACAAACCCAGGTAACAATCTGTCCAGCTCCTCGAACAGCCCTGATCAAGTGGCAAAGCTTCACTCTCATATTCTCAGCACCCATTCTCACAATTACAGTAATTCTTCCGGGCTTATTGGTTGGGTTCAGGATGTCAATGAGTTTAACTAGCTCATTTGGATCCATCTTTTGGCTCACCTGCAATAGAACTTCCGTCTTCAGGCAACTGACGTAATAGAATAGGCTAAGAGTAGTAGTAAGATCTCAATATTACATATAAAATAACATTTTGATTAATATTACGGCAGAGGTAAACATCAAATGCGCTGTAGGTAAATATCAAATGGCACTATAGGTAAACATCAGATGTCAAATGGTGATAAATAAGAGGAGGTGAGTAAACTAAATGGAACTTCAACGGAGATGGACTTTTTTTCCGAGAATGGTAAGTAGTGGAGATGCATTAGTTCTAAATTTCTGCTTCCTCCACTACATTTTATTTCAATGTTAGATAAATCAAACAGCATACTATGCTTTGCAACGAACACACTAAATTAGTAATACTTCCATTAGCATATTGCACTGAAACTGCTTTAAGCTATCCATACCTTGATGCCAAGTGGGTTTGCTACTCCTCTCAAGAACTCAACATGAGCACCGTCAAGTTGCCTGGTTCGTTCACCAACCCAAATCATGTGAGCGGAACAATCATAGAAAAGACCAGAAGTTGAATCCTCCCTTGTAAGTGCTTGTTCATAAGGAAGAAGCAAGCACTCATGGGATGTCCAGAAATCAGTTGTCGCCATGATAGGGTGGTCAACTGTGAGTCCAGCAGCAGCCATGAATCCCAAGGCTTCATCAACCCTGTGAGCTAGTTCTTGATACCTGCAAAACATTCCAAACATATTAGACTTAATATCATCTCAATATCCCGACCTACACTGCGGAATATGCAACCGAAATGACACTTGAAGTCGTAATGACAAAAACTTGGCACTTCAGGCCAATGGCGGAGCCGTGATTTCAAATTTATAGGTTCTGGATTTAAGAACGACGACTTCAATTGCTAATAACTGGGTTCTAAATTTAATATTTGTACATAACTTAATAAATTTCTTAACACAAAGACATTGTTTGAGCAAAAGCTATTGTGTTCGGTCAAAACCGTATATGGGTTCCGCCCCTCACTTCAGGCCCATGTCCAATTGAGAAGTCATTAAAATGATATAGAGTTGCAGATCTTAGAAAGACATTTGATAGCCACATAAAACAAGATTAACTGCTGAAGAAGAGAATCTGTTACAGTTTTCATACCTATCTCCTTGCTCACTGTTCTCCACAAAATCAAGATTCCATTCGGTGACCCTCTGCATTGCAGCATAACCTCCAGTAGCAAAAGCCCTAAGAAGGTTAAGAGTCGCAGCAGATTGCATGTAAGCCCTAATAAGCCTATGAGGGTCTGGAATTCTTGACTTCTCATCAAATGTATCACCATTAATATTATCACCCTTGTAACTTGGCAGCTTCACTCCATCAATCTCCTCAAATGGATCTGATCTTGGTTTTGCAAACTGACCCGCCATTCTTCCAACCTATAATTAACCATGTAACAACTTAAGCTTAGTATCATGATGTTTTTCAACCAAGAAGCTCATTGTAATGATCTTCATTCTACCAATTCAAGTAACCAGATATTCTACAATTATTAACTCAAACACTTGACTAAAGCAAATATATGTACATATACACATTATGTATATATGTATACACATACATATCTACACATATACACATAACAAACACACGCCACACATAACGAATATTTACAAACATAACGCACCCACAATACCTATGTACACACACAGACATACATATAAACATATTTGTATATATGTATACACACCTACTCCCTCGGCTCTATTTCATATAAAATGCTCAATACAGAGTTTAAGATTTTCACTTAGCTTATACATCACATTAAAATATAGGGAAGGAAATACTGACATAGCGGCTAAAATAGCCCGACAAAGAACCTCGTCTCAAAGTTTAAAATTTGAATAGCTTAATGAATTAAACTCTTGAAAGTTGTAAAAATTGCATAGCAATAGAACAGCGTCAAACATTTTGGAACATCCAAAAATGAAATTACTATGACATATTTTAAAAAGAAAACAAGTGCAAACGCAATAGCACCATATCCACACAGATCCATAAAAGTGAGAACTAAGAAACAGAAGAACACACAGTTTGGCCAATCAAAACATGGAATTTGAATATAAGAGACATAAAAATTGAATATTGGTTACCTTAAGCAACATAAACAAACACTTTAGCTAATCATAACACAGAATTAGAATACAAGAGTCATAAAAATTCAATCTTGGTTACCTTGAGCAACAGAAACACACATTATAGCTAATCATAACACAGAATTAGAATACAAGTCATAAAAATTTAATCTTGGTTATCTTAAGCAACAGAAAAACACACATTTTAGCTAATCAAAAGACAGAATTAGAATATAAGAGTCATAAAAATTGAATCTTGGTTATCTTAAGCAACATAAACACACATTTTAGGTAATCATAATACAGAATTATAATACAAGTCATAAAAATTCAATCTTGGTTATCTTAAGCAACAGAAAAACACATATTTCAGCTAATAAATTGAAATTAACAGGCATAAAAATTAAATCTTGATAATTACCTTAATAACAGGAACTTGACCACCAAACATAAGAACAACACTCATCTGAAGAAGAATCCTAAAAGTATCACGAATATTATTAGCATTAAATTCCTTAAAACTCTCAGCACAATCACCACCTTGTAATAAAAAAGCTTTTCCTAAAGCAGCTTCACCAAGTTTCTCTTCTAAATTCCTAGCTTCACCAGCAAACACAAGTGGAGGGTTAGATTCAAGAGTTTTAAGCACTGATTCAAGTTCTTTTTCATCTGGGTATTCAGGTAATTGCAAAGCCTTTTTACTTTTCCAAGAATCAAGACTCCATTGGGTTTTTTTCAACGGCTGTGAAGCAGTTGCTGTTTTGGCGGGCTCCGCCGCATGTACGGCGGAGATGGGGTGGCGCCGCCCATGTTGGGGGTTGTGAAAAAGAGGAATACGGGGTTGGGGTAATGAGGGGTTGTGGAGAAGGTGAGATTGAACAAGGGATTTTGATGATGACAATGATAAGGTATTTGATAAAGCCATTTTCTGGATTCTTGATTCCTCTTTTTCTCTCTATAAAAAAAAAGAAGATGACTACTTTTTCTGTAAATAGAGAGAAAGAGGATCTGTAGGAGGAGGAGATCTGAAATTGGGTTTAGGATTATTTATATATGAGTAGAATTTTTGGGGGTAGATTTTGAGGACGAGTAGGTGTAGAATTTGGTGGGTGAGTAGTATTTTGGTAAATAAGTTGTAAAAAAGGGGTAAAGATATTTTCGAGTGACAACAAAAGTTGGGGGTGTGTCGGTTGTATTTTGATGAAACTCGAATGCTCGTACTTGCTCCTAGATACGGACATTAGTTTATTTGTTGTTTTATTTTTCCTATTAATGGAAAAGCTTCAAATTTGTCATAATTATTTGAAATTTTTAAGTCATATATATTGTAGTATAAGAAAAAATATTAACTACCCAAGTAACTCAAATAATATCGATGGACAAGTCTTCTTAAAAAGTGTGAAATTGATATATTTAAGATAAAATAATTTACCCGATATAATAAATAAATGTGGTCTGATAGTGTAAAAAATTTCGATGGGCAAGTCTTCTTAAAAGTGTGAAATTTATATATTTAAGATAAAATATGTTATCTGATATAATAAATTAATTGTGAACGATACTGAGTTGAAACAAAAATCAGAAAACTGTTAGAAGAATAAAGAAATATATAAAATAGTAAAGAATCAGAAATATTCCGAGTCCACAATTTTCTTGTGCGTCCTTAAGGAATTTTAACCCCCTCACGTTGCCAAGGTAATGGATTAAATCCTCCCAGGATAATAGGATACCAACGAACTCAAAGAACGGAGCAAAATCACACTTACGAATTTGAGAGAGAGACTGCGAATTAGGATGCAGTATATTAAGAAAGAAAGAAGTTCTAGAGTGTTTTTCGTGTCTGGAAGATGCAGCCTTGCCTCAGAATTTATAGGCAAATATTAGAAGAGGTGTCTGGAAAGGTGCCTTTTCAGAAAATACGCGGCCGCGCCGAAGCCGAGCCGAGCGAGCGACGACGGCGCGATGGTTCATTCTCTTCAACTCCTTTTAAGAGCTTTAAGAAGTGAATCTATATATAAGCACATAAATGTGATTGTCCCTAACCAATGAGGGACAAAGTGCAAGATAAAAGTTGACTTCTCCAAATTTTCATTTTCCCTCCATTTTATTTTCCTCCATTTCCAATTCACACTTCTTCTCTTTTAAAGCTCAATGGCTTAAAGTCCAACATTAATGTGGTCTGATAGTGTAAAATTTCTTATCCTGATGTTGTATATAACTTAAACGCGTATGTGAAATGGTGTGGATTTGCTCTCTCTTATAAATGGATCAAATGTGCTCTTATGGTGATCAAAATGGCCATATATGCCCTTATTATGGTCTAGTTATATTTAGCAATTTTTTTATTTATATATTAAAGATAAAATAAGTTACTCGATATAATAAATAAAGGTGGTATGACAGTGTAAAAATTTGTTGCTGATGTTGTATATAACCTGAACTCGATGCGAAATGGTTTGCATTGATTCTCTCTTATTAAATGGATCAAATGTGCCCTTATTGTGATCAAAATGGGGCCATATATGCCCTTATTATGGTCAAGTTATATTTAACGATTTGTTTTTATGGAAGAGTAGACAAGAGGGATTGCTCTAACGGTAAACAACCTCCCCTTCCCTTATTGTTGTTGTTGTTGTTGTTGTTGTTTTATGGAAGAGTAAGTTTTAAGGCTTAGGATAAAATTATCAACTCCAAGGAAATAGTTCACTTTTGGCATTATGACTCATGTGCACTTTTTCTTTTCTTTCTATTTTGTCCTTTTTGTCTCCTATCTTTTTCATGCCAGAAAAAAGAGGACAATGATTTGTAGCTTCTCCATCCCTCTAAAACCAATGTCATCCACACTCCACTTTTGAACTAAAAATGGGGTTGATTCTTATTTTGAGTCATACATTTTTTTTTAATTCAAACACAAATGCTACTTATTATAAGGTCTATTTTAGCTCCGTACATTTTACTCGAAATACAGAAATATGATGTCACGACACATATTGTTCGTTTTTGGTCTAGGCCTATACGGATTTGTCCTTCGGGTTCTGCCAAATCGAGTCTCAAAAGCGGGTATATCATGTGAACGTATTTCATGTTTTATTTTCTCTTTTATTTCGACGTAGGGTTTTGCCTAAGGTGGCATGTGAACAAAGGGCGGAGCCAGTATACATGTTACGGGTCCGACCGGCCCAGTAACTTTAGTTCAAACTATGTATTTATTTTAAGAAATTCATTGAATATGTACAAATTGCTTATTTAGAACTCAATAATTTTAAAGAACTAGAATTCCGAACATATCAACTTTAAATCTTGGTTGTAACTCTGCATGTGCACCTCTTCTTCAAAAGCTTGTCGTGCTAGAAGCCTACCAGCCCTACTTGACCCACCTTCATCAGCTTGCCCTCCATCCTCGACATCAAATACGATTTTCTTGGACATTTCATCATACAAATCTTTCACTAATTACATTTTATAAATATAAATAATGTTATGAATTTTTCTTAAATCTCTATTCATTGTCAAAGTCCGATTGAAGTTAGGATCTTTCTGTATTTAAACTAATTCAAAAGGTTTTGCATGAAAATTTTGACAGGCCTACAAAGAATCCTCAAATGTCTTATCATTAATCGGCACCCCTTTTTCAAAAGCTTGTCATGCTAGATGCCTACTAGCCCTACTTGACCCGCCCTTATCAGCTCGTCCTCCATCCTGAGAATCACATACGATTTTCTTGGACATTTCTTCATACGAATTTTTTGCTAATTGCATTTTATAAGTATAGTGATAGAAATTTTTCTTAAATCTCTATTCATTGTCAAAGATAGATTGAAGTTAGAATTTTTCTGTAGTTGAACTAAATCAACTAATTCACATGTTTTTGGCATGAAAATTTTGCCAGGCCTACAAAGAATCCTCAAATGTCTAATCATTAAAGGCAATGTTGAATTATTAATGACAAATAATGAGAATAGCAAAGAAAATCTTGGCTTAAAACGAGAAACGTTTCTTCATTAAAATTGATATGTGATCTTGTGGTTGATAAGATTTTTGGACCAGTTGAGTCATGGACCTCACAAACTGAATTATTCCAAGAATCTCTCCTTAGCTTCCAACTACCACCTTAAATAATTGGCCTTTGAATCCTTGAAAAGGTCTCAATGTTAGGTAGTAGGTACTTGACCTACTCCCGGCGAAGCTAAAATTTTGAGTTCAGGGACTTTAAATAATAAAAGAAATAACTTATTGAGTTTTGAATAAATTATTATTAATATTGTAGATATTTAATTTTTTACCTTTAATGAAATTTTATATTATTTAGAGCTTAGATGTTTATTTTAGGCCTATCATTGCTATTTTAATTATTTTTTACTTTTTGCTTTATTTTATCTTAAAAATTACAAAAATATTTTCCTTTATTTTAGCTTATTGGTATTTTGTTTAGTTAGCTTTGGTTTTGAAAATAATACAAAAATAGTCTTGACATTTTATTTTTTACAAAAGATAAAAAGAAAAGTTTCAAAAAATATCTTCACTTAGTTTAGTGTGATTTTAAGTTGTAGTAGGGTTTTAGTAAATATTGAGTATATTTGTTTAATACAGTAATGTTATCATTTATTATTTTTGTACTTTAGATAATTAGTAGTAGTATTCTACTTAGCTAGTTTTATTTAAAATGAAAAGGAATGCAAAGGATCAATTAACCAACTCTCATGGCACACTACACACGTCATTTTTTGTTTCTCAATATACAATGGTACACACACTCCGCTTACTTTATTTTGGCATTAATCATTTTAGACATACACCATACACACATTGTGCACTATTATTAAAAAAAGATTTTTTTCGAAATTTTTTTCACTCTTTTTTAAACCAGTGTTTGGCCATGAAATTTTCGATTTTCACTTGAAGATGAATTTCAAATTTTTTCAAAAATTTGAAAAACTCAAAAAAGTTATTTTTCAAAATTTTCACTTCAGATCACTCACAAAAATTCAAAAACATCTCAAAATTATATTCACGTCCAAACGCAACTCTAATTTTAAATACCATTCACATGATTTTTTTTTTACTTTTTTCCTAAATTTTACAATTTTTATATCCAAATGCCCACTTAGTTATTTTTGTTCATCAATAGGGAAATTCGCATTTTTTTAATCTTCCTCTAAAAATTTCTTTTTCATGGTCATCTTCTATTCAAAAGGATCTTACTCAATTCAATAGAAACTTAACTTCTACCCCACTTTTTTTTTTCTTTTCAGACTAAATTAAAAAAATGGCAATGTATAGCCGCTCTCAAAATAATAGCCAAAAAATATTTTTTTTTTGTATATACATATATTGTGCATGTTATATACAAAAATTATATATATTTTATATACTTTTTCGATTACCAAATATAAATAATTTTTAGCGCGGGGTAAAAGTGATAATACCCTTCATTCACCTCTCACATAGGCACAATAGTATGCGGATAGAGATTAGGGTTATTCTCACAATTAACTTGTTTCCCAAGCACAATTCTAGTTGAAAATCGCCACTCTTATCACAAAACTTTACCACTCCAATATCAAGAAGAATGGCTGCGCACAAATTTAAAACCCTAGTCTCTTTATTCCGTTCATCCACTAAATTGACTGCTCTTTCCTTGAAGTTCAATTCAGTTGTTTATTCGCCAAAATTGTATACAACAACTATATGTTCACCACTTGGAATAACGCAAGAAAATAAAAAGTCTACTGGTACTGTATTGAGTACTGATTTAATGTTTCGTAAATTGGGATTAGGGTATAATACTCTAATACAATCCAATTATGTAGACGAAGTCAATGCTCAAATAAGTGAATGCGTACACAAGGCCAGATACACCAAGGATATAGATGAGTTCTCAAAATCTTGTCAACTTCTTGAATCAATTAAGGAGCAAGGTTTCCAACTAGAAGAGGAGAGCTATGAATTTGATACAAGTTAAGAGAATCGAGCAGCTAAGAGGAAGAGATAGAGCAGTAAGCAGTAACAGAAAAGCTAAGCTGGCAGCTGAT